TTTGAGGAAGGAAGAGAGCTGAGCCACAAGCTGAGGTAGCAGATGGTCAAGTGGTATTTTCAAAAGCAGGGAACTCCAAGGTTTACATGCAGGCTAGGGATATTAGTGCAATGTCTACCCCTCAACTCCTGTATCCTTGGCAGAATTTGTCCTCCCTGCCCCCACCGTGTGTGTGTGTGTGTGTGTGTGTGTGTGTGTGTGTGTGTGTGGTGACAGGACTGTAGAAAGATGAGCAGGGAGGAGTCCTTGGCAGAATTTGTCCTCCCTGCCCCCACCGTGTGTGTGTGTGTGTGTGTGTGTGTGTGGTGACAGGACGGTAGAAAGATGAGGAGGGAGGAAAATTCAAATGCACACTCAAAACCAGGAGCACCTATGAGGCTTCGGTTAACCTGACCTGGGCTCTTACCAATGGTAGCTGCCCAAACTGTCATGAGTGCAGGAGGTGGCAGCAGCCACTGCTGTGGGCCCCTTACCATAAGTGTAGAGCACGCTGCTTCACTTTATGGCCCCTGCACTGCGCTGTGAGGCCGCACAGCAGGTTTGCCCACATCTTGGCAGGAGGACCCTGAAACAGTGAGATTAAGACACTAAGCCCCTTTCCTGAGCTGCATGGATCCCATGTGGCCTGATTCTGAGTTCTGACTCCGCTCCAGCTGTGTGCCCATGGGCAAGTAAGTCTCTTATACGTCTCTTTTGTGCCTTGGTCTACTCATCTTTAAACAGGACCTGTTTTAAACAGGTTGGTATAAGGCAATGCTTATCACTAACAGGACATGGAATTGATTTGGGGGCCACAGTTCACACTGGAGGATGCAAGTGACACACTTTGCTCCTATGTACATTTTGCCATAGGTAGGCCTTGGCATATACCTGGAGGCCTTAGAGAGGACACCAGCTGCACAGCTGCCAAAGGGTTAAGGGGCCTGCCATCCTATAATAGGGCAGGGCACAGTCTGACCGTCAAAAGCCTTGGCCCATCTGATCCAGAGGCCCCTCCCCGGAAGGCAACTGTACTTTCTGATTGTGTGGCCATCTGCTATTTAAGGTCTTTCGCACACCTGCTGTAACCTTCCACTGGGATCCACCTTCTGCAGGACGGTCTCTGGGCCACAGCCAAAAGGTGAGGGGACTACAAGGCTGGAGTCTGAGACCTGGGAGAAGCTGAGGCCAGAGGGAGAGTATTCAGGGCCAGCTCCAGTCCTGTCCTGGCTGGGGTCCGGGGTACTCTCGTGACTCTGTCTCCTTCGGCATTGCCCTCTGCTGTCTTGTGCTCAGGATAGGGAAGGCTGGAGTGGAGGGAAGATGTGGGCTGGGGATGTGGCTTGATTTTTGTTGTTCTGCCATCTGTCATTCTGTGTGGCACTGTGTTCTCATGGCTCATATACCTGGAGGCCTTAGAGAGGACACCAGCTGCACAGCTGCCAAAGGGTTAAGGGGCCTGCCATCCTATAATAGGGCAGGGCACAGTCTGACCGTCAAAAGCCTTGGCCCATCTGATCCAGAGGCCCCTCCCCGGAAGGCAACTGTACTTTCTGATTGTGTGGCCATCTGCTATTTAAGGTCTTTCGCACACCTGCTGTAACCTTCCACTGGGATCCACCTTCTGCAGGACGGTCTCTGGGCCACAGCCAAAAGGTGAGGGGACTACAAGGCTGGAGTCTGAGACCTGGGAGAAGCTGAGGCCAGAGGAAGAGTCTTCAGGGCCAGCTCCAGTCCTGTGCTGGCTGGGGTCGAGGGTGCTCTCGTGACTCTGTCTCCTTAGGCATTGCCCTCTGCTGTCTTGTGCTCAGGATAGGGAAGGCTGGAGTGGAGGGAAGATGTGGGCTGGGGATGTGGCTTGTTTTTTTGTTGTTCTGGCATCTGTCATTCTGTGTGGCACTGTGTTCTCATGGCCTTTCTGAGCTCTGGCTTCCCTGTGTGTAGGATGTCAGCCATTGTGACAGAACCACAGGACCTGTGTGTGAAAAGATTCAGCGATAGAAATTTGCAAGTGGTAAAAACTTTACAAAGGGGTATATAGATGCTACTTTCTCTCATGTTCCATAAAGGCTCCCTGCCTTGATCCCCAGGCTTGCTGCTCCCTCTCACTCACAGAGGTGGTGAGCAGGGCCCTGGGTCGCACTACAGGGTCACCTCCAGGCTCTGCCTCTATGCTGTGTGTCCCTGGGGCAGGTCCTAACCTCTCTGGGCCTTCATCATTTTCCTCTGAAAATGAGGCTGATCTATAAAATGAGGTCTGTGCTATAGGGCTGAGGTGTTTTGTGCTTCTTAATCACCTGTAGTACTTAATGTGCTGTTGCAATCTCTTCATCCCTGCTTCTTTCTCTCCTTTCCCCTTCACAGTAATAAGGCTTGAGAGGCCCTTCCCAGGAGGCTTGACCCCTGAAACTT